TTGGCCCCGGAGGGCCCCACCCTGGCACTCGGCGCTCCCTTCGGCAGCCCCGACGCTCTCGACGACCAGGTCAAGGCCGTGCTAACCAAGGCCCGCGACACGCGACTAGCCCTGCTGGAGGTCGGACACGCCGCGACGGAACTGGTGCTCACGCGGCTCTGCGCCGACGTGTCGAAGCTCTCCTACCAGCTACGACTCAACGGGGACAGGGTCAAGGACGAGCACTTGCAGCAATTCGACAACGACCTCCGCGAAGCCGTGCAGCTTGTCGCAGGCGGCGACCTCCCCGACGCGGCGTGGGAGCAGTGCTCGCTCGGCGTGAGCACAGGAGGCCTTGGCATGCGGACCGCCTCGCAGGTGTCTCTCGCGGCCTTCGTGGCCAGCCGCGTGTGCTCGAGGCCTCACGTGCGGGAGATGGCAACGCACCTCACGGAGAGGGGCCTGGGCGAGGCAGGGGTCATAATGGCCGAGTACGACAGGCGCACGGACGACGCCGCGGCCCGCCTTGTCTTCAGCCTACCGCCCACGGTCGGCAGCCTCCTCGTGGCCGCGCTCTCAGAGGCCGCCGTGGAAGCCGAGGGTCGCTGGGCCGCCCTTTTCAACCGGCACGCGGAGGCGCCCGCCGCCGCGCCCCAGGAGCGCCGCGGCCGCCCCCGGGGCCTCGGCCGCAACTTGCTTCCGCTCGACGAGGACGAGGACAACGAGCACCCCAACTCCGCCCCGCGCACGCGGCAGCTGCACCTGCAGCGGGCTCTACTTCGCTACCTCGACGAGCAGGGACGGCACGACCTTCGCAAGAGGCACGCGGACGCTGGGGACGACGCGGCGCTGCGGCGGCTCGACGACCTCGAGCACTCCGACTGCGACCACTCCTGGCTCTGGAACCTCTCGAAGCACAAGGGCCCTGTGATGGACAGCCCCGAGTTCACCGAGGCCCTGCGCCTGCGCGTGGGCGCCGCCGGGCCGCTGGACCCAGTCCCGTGCGGCCTCTGCGGCCAGGCGGTCCTCGACCGGGCAGGGTCGCACGCCCTCTGCTGCTGTCGCGCGGAATCAACACGGGGGCACCACGCGGTGGCGCGCCAGGTGCACGCCGCGGCCAGAGTCTGCGACCCAGGAGCAGAACTCGAGGCCCCGGGCCTGGTGCCAGGAACGCGCCTCCGACCAGCCGACGTGCTGACCGGCGCCCTCGGCAACGGCCTCTTGGCCCTCGACGTGGGCATCGCCTCGCCTGACGCCGTGGCAGCCAGCCCGGACTGCGCGGCCACCATGTACCGGCGTAAGGTCGAGTACTATTCGGCGCACGCCGATGTTCTGGCGCGGCAGAACATCACATACCAGCCGCTGGTCTACACCTGCTACGGCCGCCCCCACCCCCGGACGACAGCCATCCTCCGCGCTCTCGCGATGAAACAATCGCGGAGGCGTGGCTGCTCTGATGGGGAGTGGCGGTACAAGCGGCTGGCCGCGGCCATCGGCACGGAGCTGTGGCGCCGCGCCGCCAGGCAGGTGCAGGCGTGCTGGCCCGACCGGGAGGAGGGTGCCTCGTAGGCGCCCCCTCCCGCGCCCCCGTCGCTCCCCCCCAACCCCCAACCCGCCCCCGCCCGCCCCCGCGCACGCGCGCCTAACGGCGGGGTCTGGTGGCTCACGCCCCGCGGCCGTGCCCCCCCGCCCCACCGCCGCCTGCCCGTCTGCCCCCCTGCCTTGCCTGCTTGCCTCCCCCCCTCCCTCTCCCGGGCCCGGAGGCCGCGTGCCGTCGTCTCGAGCACCCGGTGCTCTTCAGCGATGCGTTTCTCCCTCCTTCTCCTCCGCTTCCTCCCTCCTCCTCGTGCCGGCCCCGTCTCACAATTCTCGTGCCAGTTCGACTGCACCCCGGTGAGTTGTTCAGCCGGCGTCTTTTTCTGGCGAGCGGCCCCGTTCCAGCCGCTAGCTCCGGAGCCCCACGCGGGTCCAGACAGCCCCAAGACGACCCGCCACGCTTGCTTACTGGTCGTATATGTGAGGGGTCGGACGGGCCAGCTTTCGGCACCAGGTCGTCCTCCTCGTCCTCCTCGTCCTCCCTGCTCCTCCTCCCGGCCGCGCTTCACGATATTAGCGGCTCAGAAAATGACGTGTTTACCCGGATTGAGGGCTGCCCCGTTACAGCGTGGGGCTGCCTCGGCATCCTGCTTGGTGGCCTGAGCGGTGGCTCGACTGGCTCGTCCTGTCCCCGTCCTCCTTCCCGCTCCTTCCCCCTCGTCTTCCCGCCTTCCCCCTCCTCCAGTGGCGTGTGGTGGCGCCCTGTCTGCATTTCTTTGCCGCTGATCCCTACGTGCCCGTTTTTTACCAAGAAGGGCGCCTGGTGGCGGCAGTCGGCGGGAGGTGTTTGCGCTTGGCAGCTTCGCTCTCCCAGGCCAGTGCCACTGCGTGTGCGTATGAAAGCCGAGCAGGCTGGTCTCTGGTTTGCAGTATAGTTATCGCCCAAGGGTCACAGGTGCCTCCTAGGGGTTGAGCAGGATCTTTTCCCTGCAGATGCATGGTACATCCACGATTTGAACGTGGGACCACGGATTCTGACAGGTCACCTGTGACACAAGTCCGATGGCCCCCCCAAAAAAAAACTGGGGGTGCAGGCGCATTGCGGCGCGACTTCCGTGGAGCGAGTCTTGGTGTCTCTGGGTGGGTCTCTGGGACTGCTAGTGGAGTTCTGGCCGTCGCATCCGCCTCTCTCTGCCCCCTCTGCGCGGGTTTTCGGCGCTCTGTCGATGATCCTGTGAGAATTCTCCAATCGAACTGCATTGGTCCAAAGGGGTCTCTGTCGGTGCTCGATGTTCATCTCCTTGCGTCTGGCGAGCCAGCCTGGGCTGTCTGTCGTCTTCTACGGCGTGCCAAAGAGGCGCCCACAGACGCGGGGAACGCATCGTTTCTGATTGGGAGCGGTTTCGATTTTGCTCCGGAGGCAGATGGGGGGCAGCGCGGCGATGGCTCTGGGCGGCGCCCTGGGGGCAAGTGCGGACATACCTGTTCGTTCGGGTTTTTCCTCGTTGGGCTGAACTACACCGGCCTGGCCCTTCTCGGCTGGAGATTCATGGCGAGGCCCCGTGCCCAAGACACCGAAGCATGGACAGCGCTCGAGCACCACTTCACCAACCTCGCGTCGACCAGCACCCAGGATTCAGACCAATGACGTAAAATCTCAGCGAATGTCGAGACGTCTCGCCCAACCCGCGCCGACACCGACACCAAGGACTTTCTTTTCCTCCTCCTCCCCCTCTCCTCCTAACTTTTCATATGTCTCGCATTGCATGTATCCAGACACCTCAGATCCTGGAGGCCATGGCCTCACCCACCTGGTCTGCTCTAGGCCTGGACGCTGTCCGCAACAGTAGTCGCATCGCATCGCATCCTCCTCCTCCTCCTCCTCCTCCTCTTCCTCGTCCTCCTCGTCCTCCTCGTTCTCTTCCTCATCCTCATCCTCATCCTCATCCTCTTCCTCCTCCTGGCCCCCCCTCCTTCACCCCTTTCTCATCCCTGGCCCAAATCCGTTTAACACCGGTGCCCGGAATCTTCCTCGGGGCCGATCTTGGCCCGCTGACGAAGCAGATCCGGTGGTGGCGACGAGAAATGTCCCGGAGGTTCGCAAACGGCGAATTAGTCTGGCGAAGGACCTAACCACATGCAGCTGTTAGTGCCGCAGTTGTGAGTATCGTCTTCGGTGGAGCTACCCATAGGGCCAAGTGCCGAAATCAGTGGAACCGCATGCGGACCCTGCGATGGGGGCCTTCGGCGGAGATCCCTATGGGGCCACGAAAGATGTGAGCGGAGCCGCATGCGAACCCTGCTGCGTCTCGGGCTTTCGGCGGGGCTCCCTATGGGGTCACGAAACGTGTGAGGGGTGTGTCAAAATTGGAGGTGAAACCGCATGCGAACCCTGCCACTGGGTTCTTCGGCGGAGTTCCCTGTGGGGCCACGAGCCGTGTGAGGGGTGTGCCGAAATGGAGGTGGAACCGCATCCGATCTTTGCCACTGGGGCCTTCGGTGGCGCTCCTTCTGGGGCCACGAGCAGTGTGAGGGGTGTGCCAAAATGAGAGCGGAACCGCATGCGAGCCCTGCCTCTCGGGCTTTCGGCGGAGCTCCCTGTGGGGTCACGAAACGTGTGAGGGGTGTGTCCAAATTGGAGGTGAAACCGCAACCCTGACACTGGGTCCTTCGGCGGAGTTCCCTATGGGGTCACGAACCGTGTGAGGGGTGTGCCGAAATGGGGGTGGAACCGCATGCGATCTTTGCCATTGGAACCTTCGGTGGAGCTCCTTATGGGGCCACGCACGGTGTGAGGGGTGTGCCAAAATGAGAGTGGAACCGCATGCGAACTTTGCTACTGCGGTCCTCGGTGGAGCTCCTTATGAGGCCACGAAGCGTCTGAGGGGTGTGCCAAAATGGGGTTGGAACCGCAAGGGAACTTTGCCACGGGGGCCTTCGATGCAGCTCCTTATGGGACCGCGAAACGTGTGACGGTTGTGCCAAAATGGGGATGGAACCGCATGTGATCTTTGCCATTGGAACCTTCGGTGGAGCTCCTTATGGGGCCACGCACGGTGTGAGGGGTGTGCCAAAATCAGGGTGGAACCGCATGCGAATTTTGCCATTGGGGCCTTCGGTGGAGCCCTATGGGGCCACGAAGCGTGTGAGGGGGCGTGCCGACGTGGGGTGGAACCGCATGCGAGCTTTGCTACTGGGGCCCTCGGTGGAGCTCCCTCCCTATGGGGCCGAGGAGCGCGGGGCGCCGCCTCTTCAGTGCGAGTGCCCAACACCACAGGATGTTTGGGACACAAACGCCGGGGAGGGCTGCCGTTGCCTCGCTTGGCCCTCCTCCCGCCCGCGGCCCCGCCGGTGGGGTCACCCAGGAAGGGCGCGAGGACGAAAGCGATCGAGGCTCGTCGGTCAGGAGCGCCGCCAGGGGGGGGCCGGGGAGCCTGGCTCGGGGGGGAAGCGTCTGCCCTCAATCCTCCTCCTCCTCCTCCTCCTCCTCCTCCTCCTCCTCCCCCTCCTCCTCCTCCTCCTCCACCTCCTCCTCCTCCTCCTCCTCCTCCTCCTCCTCCTCCTCCTCCTCCTCCTCCTCCTCCTCCTCCTCCCCCCAACTCCTCCTGCTCAGGAGCGCGGTGTTTTCCCCCTCGGGGGCAGAACGCAGATTCTTCGACCACGTATCGTCGATTCCGCGTCATTGTTTCGCCCCCTGCGCCAGTCCCCCCCTTCGGCTCCCCGCTCCCCAATGTTGGCCCCGAGGGATCGAGAATGTCGACGCAGATCAGAGTCGGGCTTGTCGAGGTATACATCATTGTTGCAGGTCTGATGCTTGAAAGGTCTCATTTGCGCGTGGGTGCAGCATCGGTGGTGATACCATTTGCATGTGGGTCTGGGCCGAAGGAGGCGAGGCAGGAGCAACGAGACAGGATCGGCTGCCCGGTGTGTGTCTCCAGAACTTCTTGTGAGGGCCAGAGAAGTTTGGTCACCCGCAGGAGCGCGAAGATAGCTGGCCGTCGCGCATCCTGGCTTGGGGCAGAGAAGCGCCATTTTTCAGGGTGGACGCGCGGGAGTGCGAAGATAGCCGCGCTGGGCCCGCCCGTCGACTTTCAAAGTCCTGTTCAGCAGCGTCCTGGCTTACAGTGGGGGCGCGCATCAAGGAGCCACGTGCTTTTCGTCAGGGTACCCTGGGCTTCTTCGCTCCGCGAGCTGCGCGATGACTTCCCGCCGCCGTCAAAGAGGCTGCTGCGTTCAGGGTGTTCGGGTTTCCCGGCAGGTGCACCTCGCGCGCGGGTCTTCAGGGTTGGGCTCCCTGCGAGGGTTTCCTCCGGCCGCGTCCGCACTTTGCGGGGCCCTGAGATCCGTCCTCCTGCCAGGACACGCCCGAGGCGGAGGAGGGCCTGATCCCGAGGCAGCGCAGGCGCCCCCCGCCCCCCCTCTCACTCCTCCTCCTCCTCCTCCTCCTCCTCCTCCTCCTCCTCATCATCAGGAGGAGGAGGAGGAGGAGGGCGAGGGGGATTGGGGGAGGGGGAGGGGGAAGAGGAGGAAGAGGAGAAGGAGGAGAAGGAAGAAGAAGAGGAATTCGAATAATAAAAGTAGAGGAGGAGGAGAAGGTGGAGGAGGAGGAGGACCAGTGTAAACCCAAGAGCCATCAACGATGCTGGAATCAACCCTCCCTCCAGGCTCCCCCTTCATAGGCCCCATACAATAGTTCATTTCCACAGGGAACTGCATCGTTGGAAGACAACCGTTTGAAGGCCCCGCAGCATGCCAAAACGTTCTCGGGATTCCAACACCACGGATCAACCTGACTGCTGCGTCTTGATGATTCTGAATCGCGCCAGAACGTCATTCTTGGGACTTCAACTCCGCGAATCAGCGTAACTGTTGCACCCTCATAATCTGGAACCCTTCCAGAACACCCTTGTCTGGTACGGTGATCATGGGAATCTCGGAAACTCCTGCGAATGTCAAAACGAATGTGCGCGGCGTTGAGGCGAGATCTACACTTTGAAAAGGAGCCGCCTTCAATCCGTGAAACCCTTGCAAACTTGTAAAACGAGTGTACGCGGTTCTAAGGCGAGAGCCCCATTTTGAAAACCACCCGCCCTCAATGCGTGAACTTCTTCAATTTTTAAAGCGAATGTGCGCGGCGCTAAGGCGAGAGCCAAATTTTGAAAACGACCCCGCCTCAATCCGTGAAACTCTTGCTAATGTGAAAACGAATGTGCGCGGCGCTGAGGCGAGAGCCCCATTTTGAAAACGGCCCGCACTCAGATCGTGAAGCTCTTGCAAATGTAAAAACAAATAATGTGGTGCGGCGCTGAGGCGAGAGCCCCATTTTGAAAACCAGCCGCCCTCAGCGCGTGAAATTCTTGCAAAGTTTGTAAACGAATGTGCGCGGCGCTAAGGCGAGAGCAACATTTCGCCCTCAATCCGTGAAACTCTTGCAAAGGTTGTAACGAACGTGCGCGGCGCTAAGGCGAGAGCCACATGTTGAAATCGACCCGCCCTCCATCTGTGAAATTGTTGCCAGTGTTTAAGCTTCAGGGTCATCAATGGTAGGGGAGTCTCAGGCGAAACGCCCGGCCCGCCCTAAAAACTGGATTCGGGGTGCGACAAGAACTCATGTATAAAGAAGGAATGTGAGAGGAGGAAGAGGAGGCGGAGGAGGAGGATGAGGAGGAGGATGACGGGGACGGGGGAAGTGGGAGGGGGAGGCTGGATGATGATGATGATGATGATGATGATGATGATGATGATGATGATGATGATGGTGCTGATGATGCTGATGATGCTGATGCTGATGCTGATGATGAGGATTAGGATGATGATTAGGATGATGATGGTGATGATGATGATGATGACGATGGCGATGGTGGCGGTGGTGGTGATGATGATTATGATGATGTTGATGATGATGCTGATGTTGATGCTGCTGATGATGATGATAATGATGATGTTGATGATGATGATGACGATGATGATGATGATGATGATGATGATGATGATGATGATGATGATGATGATGATGATGATGATGATGATGATGATGATGATGATGATGATGATGATGATGATGATGATGATGATGATGATGATGATGGAGAGGAGGAGGAGGAGGAGGAGGAGGAGGAGGAGGATGTGGAGGTGGAGGAGGAGGAGTATGAGTATGAGTATGAGTATGAGTATGAGTATGAGTATGAGTATGAGTATGAGTATGAGTATGAGTATGAGTATGACCATGTGAAAGAGTCAACTGTGCCAACATTACGTGACGAATTACACATGAAGGCATGACTATACACGACCACGGCTCTGCTTCTCACGTGCACTTAAAACCTTAGGCCATAAACCACGCGAAATCCTATCGAGATATACAGCTCGATGTGTGGTGACACGCTTGGTACAGACCTTGCCAAGTTCACGTAGGACCTCGGAGGCAAAAGAACCGCACAACATACAATACCAGAGCTTAAGATGTGTATGATGCTGCAGAGCATGAGATTGATCCCCCCCCCCCCCCCGCTATGTGCAGACGTGCCTGGGGGGCTTATAAAGGATGGACCCATTATAGTTGACGGGCTGGAAGCACTCTGATTGGCGCCACTTGGTTGCAGCAGCCCTGCTGGCCGATCCTCCGGAACAAGTGCACCTCCTCCCACTCTCATCGAGAGCGTGGAAGGTAGAGAAGAGGGAGAGAGCAGCAGCAGAGGGAAGGGCAGGGCAAAGAGGGTCAAGGGACGGAGAGCCAGACATAAAACCTACCTCCTGACGGACTCGCTCCCACGTGGCCTCAGGAATGTGGAAGGTTGGGACATTCTGGTCAGAACTCGACCCATGCTCAGAAGAGACCTGCTGCTGCATGCTACTGTCGGCCGCTTCCGAGCTGCCTTCAGCTCCAGAGCGTCCGTCCGAAGCCTCTGAGGCCTCGAGCCGAATTGGATGCTGGGAGTCCAGGATCTCGTCAGTCGGCAGACGGCCAACCAACTGAGCGTCCCCAGGAGGCAGACCAGGGGGGGGACCAGAGGAAGCCCCCCAAACCCCAGAGCCCTGGACCCCAGGACTACCTGGACCCCCAGCGTGAGAAATACCTTCATGAAGGGCCGCGTTGAGGCCAGAATCGGGGCAGAAGTTGAGCTCCTGAGCCCACGGATCCTCCTCATCCTGCAGCCCTTCAAAAAACTTAAAACCAAATTCACACTCATCAAAATCTACAGCATCAGCCTCAACAGAGGTGGGCTCACCCCTCGAGCTCTCCTCTGCTAGCTGTTCCCTTTGAGATTGAGCACAATCTCCATACAAGGTGTGAAACTTTTCATTTCTAGAGGCCACTGCTACTTGCTGCTGCACAATCCTACGTGCACGTGCCACGCTTGACTTCGAACCAGGAGTGGGCAGACACGACGGGCGCGGAACCTGGGGCAGACGTCCTGGAGCCTGCATAACTCTAGTGACTAGCTGCTGCCCAGAATTCCGAAACTGCACCTCCAAGCCGATGTGGGGCCTCCAAGGGACTGACTCAATTGGAAGCACCTGTGGGATGAAAGGCCTAGCAGCAATACTACACATGATGTTATCTATATGCGTGCCTGTGGACAGAAGGCATGTGGCTTCAACATCTGCTGTCGCTATCATGCCGCCAATCTTTTGCAGGAGCCCTGTCTTGGTCAGTGCTGCAGGGCTCATATTGAAGTCTCCAATGACCAGCCATGGGAGCTGGAGGGCATGCAACAGTGCAGACAGTCGCTGAAATCTGCCTACGTTCGCTCCTCCAAGCCCGATGCTGTGGAAGGCGTAGAAAGTGATGATCACGATCGAGAAGCCGTGGAAATGGACGAGCACGACAGAGAAGCCATCCAGCGCCTTGTGCGATGGCGCCATGAGCCGTGAACCCGCGGCTCGGACAGCTGGCAAACGATGAGCGCGAAGATGATTCTTGGCGAGCAGCCACTCTCCACCCTCATTGGCATGCTCTTCCTGTGACAGTGGCACATGCCTATCACGCGGTCGAGCTGGATTAAATACTGTACGTAGGCCACGACCCCTGGCCTTACCTTCCCAACGACGTAATGCAGCCTGCTGATGCACATGCGTCTCCACTATTGCATAGAAATCATAGTCGGAATTCTCAATGTACGACCAGGCTTTATCCCCCATGCAGGACACATTGGCGTAGAATAAGCGTTATACGACATTCTTGCGCTCCCCATTCACGGCATCAGGCTCCTGCGCAGCCGGTGCCGCCTCGGCGCTCGGCGCTGCAGAAGCTAGTCACGAGCTGGCCGCGCCAGCTCCCCCTGCTCCAGCGGCCGCGCCTGCAGGCGACTGGCCCCTGCCCTTGCCGTTCTGCCTCTGGCCCTTCACGCCCTTGCCGATGTGCTGCTCCGCCATGAACTTGGCTGCAGAGAGGCGCTGCGCCTCGGCCTCGACCTCGGCCGCCTGGGCTGCCGTCGCTTGTGGGGCGGTGGCGGCAGCGGCCGCGGCGGCTGCGCCACTGGCCGCCTCCGCGCGGGGCTCGCCCGCAGGGGCCCCGTCGCCGCCACCACCGCCAGGTGCAGCAGCAGTTCCATCGCCACCAGCACCTCCATCCTCGGAGTTCACCTTCCGCTTCTTCGCGAGGCGCTCGGCGATCTCAGCACGATACTTCTCCATGCGAGTCAACCAATCCCGCACCTCAGTCTCCTTGGCCGACATCTCCTTCTCCGTGGCCAGCAAGCGCTCGTGGATCTCCTTGAGACCCGCGCGCTCGCCCTCCTCGCACTCCAACTCATCTAACTTGCTGAAGAAATCTGAATCCCATGAGATATGAAATATACGCTTGTCGTCGTTGGCCTTCATGGCTGTGTCGCCGCCAGACGCCCCCGCAGCGCTGCCCACGCCCTCTGCGTGAGCCACAGCCGCGGCCGCTGCCTTCCTGGCAAGGGCTGCCTGGGCCAGCTGCTTGGACAACTCCGCCTCCTTGAGCTCCGCCGCTTCGAGGGAGCCTCGAAGGCGCAGCACGTTGGACACGGCCTGGGAGTGCTTGTGATCTGCGTCGCGAAACACTCCGTCAGCACGTCGTAGCAACTCGACGGCCGAGGTCTCCTACTGCTTGGAGTCCTCAGCCTCGCGCTCCAGCTTGACGACCTGCTGCTGCAGCGTGCTCTTGAGACTGTCGTCGCATGTGACCGCCGCAGCACGAGCCAGCAGGGAGGCGACCTCAGCGGGGCGGCCGTCCGCGGTAGGCTGCTCGCGCCACGGCGGCTTCTTGCCGCTGCCACGCCCTAGGCCGCTCCTGCCGCCAGCCCTCGGGCCGTGCGCTGGCGAGGAGCTCCTTAGGCGCGGAGGATCCCCTTCGGGTGCACGAGGGCGGACTCCTCCTCCTCATTCTGAAGATCGAACTGCACCTTCGGCCCTGTGGTGGACTTCGGACGGAAC